TCACTACAGTTAGCATAAGATAGCCTAAGGTCTAGTTAGTCACTACAGTTAGCATAAGATAGCCTAAGGTCCAGTTAGTCACTACAGTTAGCATAGGATAGCCTAAGGTCCAGTTAGTCACTACAGTTAGCATAGGATAGTCTATCTATAATCCACGGAAGATAGCAGTGAAAGGTTCTTCCTGTTTACACTCTGTACCACAGTCATTTGTTCACACCTTAACAGTGTCCTCCAGTCCCAATGTCAACAATGTCATCTTTTGTTTTTGATGACCACAGCTCTGCCAATAGGAGAGAAGACATCTGTCAGAGTGTTTTTCCCATTTCATTTCCCATAACTTCACAGGAAGTTACTAGCAGCCTTATGGAGAGCCAGGTGGATGTTCATCCATTCACACCACAACCTGAGAGGCCGGACGCAGAATCCTGACCAGGATGGGCAAGGCCTCTGTTGTCAAGCTCACATTCTGACAGGGGAGGGCAGATATTAAACACAGGCACATCATCTACCTTCACTTGGGCTGCATGATGAAAACAGAGCAAAACAGTGATGTGGGAAAGAGCTGCTAGGAGTGGGTATGATCACATGGTGATGGCAGACTTTCCATGTTACCTAAGGATGGTCCACAGGAAGACACTTAATGAAATGGCAGAGAGACACCGGGCACGAAAATGTTCAGGAGCAGAATTTGCCACTCAAAAGGGATAGCCAGAGCAAAGGCCCCCAAATAAAAGTAGGTTGTATGGGGTGAGGGGACAGACAACCAAGATTGGGTCGAGAACATGGGACCTAGAGGACAATGGGTACCAGACATTATTGGAAAGGTAGGTAGGGCAAGCAACAGGAAACTCTGTAGATCTTAGAAAGTTCTGTCCACCTTAGGAAGGGGGAACATTTACACTTCTAAAAGCCCACTCTGGGATCTGTGTAGAGGAAGAGGGAGAACAGAGGGGAAGCAGATGGGCATGGGAGGCCAGAAGTCATCAAGGGAAGGCAGGCCAAGGGTGTCAACAGATTACAAACATTCCCTGTGGCCACTGGGCTAAAATTTACATTAAGAATGCTCACTTAACCTGGCTGTGGTGGCACACACATTTAATCCCAGCACTGTGGAGGTAGAGAAGGATAGAACTTTGAGGATGAGGCCAGACTGGTCTACAGAGCAAGTTCAAGGACAGCCAGGGCTACACAGAGAAACCCTGTCTAGAAAAAAAAGAAAAAAACAAAGGAAGAAAGAGAAAAGAAGGGAGGGAGGGAGGAAGGAAGGAAGGAAGGAAGGAAGGAAGGAAGGAAGGAAGGAAGGAAGGAAGGAAGGAAGGGGAAATAAATCACTTAGAAAGTTCCCCTTAGCAGTAGCTAATGCTGACAAATGTTGGCTATGGTTTCCATTTTATATGTCTGACGCTTTAATGATTCCATCTAGAACTAAATCATAATCTTAAAAATAATTCAAATTGATATCTGTGATCTCATAATCCTGTCTCTCAAAATATTTCCAAGTTTGCTAACACATTCTGTAGCTTCAAAGTGTCATAAAGTTGGTTTATACTGTATACAAGTTTACATGTGTTTATTGGTGTTTTATGAATCTCAGTGTCACAATTTTGGGTTTCTTTGTTCTTTTCAGATGTTAAATTTTAATTTTAAAAGATACAGTTCTTAATTCTTCTAGAACACTAATTATTGTCAGTGTCTACTTAGATCCTACTATGAGTCTTGAGTAGATGACACATCCCCCCCACACACACACACACTCCTTTCTCAAGACAAAGAAAGCTAATAAAGGTAAGAGCCAAGATATCCCTCCTCAGTGCAGTACTTTAAACTACATCATACATACGTAGAGAGAAAACTGGACCTACCTCTGCCTCAATCTCTGCTTGCCTTTTCTCCAAGAGTTTCGCCACGGCCATGGCCCTGTGCTTGCCAGATCGTTTGCAGCTCACAGCCCATTCACATAACAACGTCACCACAGCTTCATCATTGGGGGCAACCTAATAACCAAGAGAAATGAACCAACCATATCACAAGGATGCAAGCAAATGACGACCTCATCCTTAAAGCTTTGTCCCCAAGTCTTACCAGCAGATGCTTTCAAATCATCTTAACTTAAATAGGAAAGGAAAACCTCAGTTAGAAAGAAAGAAATCACGCAAAATTCATCTGAATGTGTAACAATTCCAAGAGAGCCAGCATTTCCTTCAAGAAGCCTTGGCGCTCTAGTACTGAGTTTCAAACCCATGAAGGGAAATGACCACTGGACTCCAAGAGCATTGTTACAAAGGCCACATACGTCACTCCACTGTTAGGTGGGCAAAATGAGGACGATGATTTGTTTGTCGTGTATTCCTATCTGGCTTCATTATCAAATGACCAGTGAGAAACTAGGAAAAGAAACAAACCAGAGGGAGGCTGGAATGTGGATGACAGGTGCGTGGCTCATCTCACCATAAACAGCAACCGTGAAGAGGGAAAGCCAAGCATCCAAAGAACCAAAACCTGGTGATGGGATGGCCAAACACCCTAATAGTTGTGCCAGAAACCCCATCCAAGGACTAAGGAATCTGGATGCAGACATCTACGGCTAGGCCCCTGGTGGAGCACTGGGAGTCTAATTAGTGAGAAAGAGGAGGGTTTATATGAGCGAGAATTGTTGAAACCAAGGTTGGATAAAGCACAGGGACAAATAGCCAAATGAATGGAAACACATGAACTATGAACCAAAGGCTGAGGGGCCCCCAACTGGATCAGGCCCTCTGAATAGGTGAGACAGTTGATTGGCTTGATCTGTTTGGGAGGCATCTAGGCAGTAGTACCAGGTCCTGGGCTCATTGCATGAGTTGGCTGTTTGAAACCTGGGACTTATACAGGGACGCTTGGCTCAATCTGGGAGGAGGGGACTGGACCTGACTGGACTGAGTCTATCAGGTCGGATCTCAGTCCTCGGGGGAGGCTTTGCCCTGGAGGAGGTGGGGATGGGGGGTGGGCTGGGGGGAAGGGAAAGGGAGCAGGAAGGGGGAGAACAAGGGAATCTGTGGCTATTATGTAGAACTGAATGGTATTGTAAAATAAAATAAAATAAAATAAAAAGAATGAAAAACAAAACAAAACAAACAAACAAACAAAAGAACCAAAACCTGAAAGCAGACTTGGTCAGCGAAGTGCCCTGGCTATATGCAGAACAGTATCAGTCCGGGGACAGACTCCAGTGACTAGGGATGGGAGGGCTTCGGGGACCCACGGGGTGTGGAACATGGCTGGTGGGGCTGAGGGGTGACAGAAGAAAGACTGGGCTCCTGTGCCGTCCCTTTGCTTTACGGTATCCGTGCCACCACAGCAACATTCTGGCTCCCAGACTGTGGTATTTCTCAGGAGCATAAACGTTATGCTAGACAAAGTAGACGATCACAGTATTAGCACTTAAATAGTATGCTGGACATGCTTAACACTTCAGAATTCATGAGCTCAACTACAGTTATGATATAGTTACGAGCACAATCCCAGGAAGCGTAATCACACACATAAACCGAGGCTTGTGGACCCTGATACCTATAAGGATTCCAGAATAAAAATGGATGAGGAGCTGTCAACACTAGCAATCCATTCAAATCCTAAAAATCAATTTGCTCTGACAGTCCATTTGGAAAATCTTATTTCCCTTTCCTAACAGGTATCAGTTGCAAAAAGCTTCTTGGTTAGAGGTAGGAGTTTGTGCCCATTTCCCTTTTCAGTGCTAGGAGTTTGTCTGGCTTGAACCTGGCTCAAATCTATCCAGGGATTGTGCATGCTGCCACTATCTCTATGAGTGCCTACGTGCATCCCTGTTACACCTGGAAGACATTGTTTCTCTGGAGTCATCGACTACCTCTGGCTCTACACTACACTATAGTTCCATGGGAACCGGCCCCCTCCCCTGACCAATATGGGAATCAGCATCCATGTGGTGCATAGACATATATGCTGACAAAATAGTCATACACATAAAAATAAATAAGTAAATCTTTTACATTTTAAAAAAATAAAACAAGGGAAATAAAAATAAATTTTGATCATGGCATTTAAATTTTAGAAGGCATTGTGAAGATTTTTCTGGCTGAAATCAATGTAATGCAAAAGCAGGGCAAGTTAAGGTCAAGTCAATTCCTGAAGCACCAAGTTTGGATTCAAAATATGAAAGAAATTAAACAGTTGCACTAATAGAAAACTGATAGCAGCATTTTTAATCCAATCAGTAAAATGCATTATGTTCACACTTTTAGGTATGTCCTTTACATCTTCAAGATCAGATAAACACATACTTACAATAAAATCTAAGTACTTTAATGCTGGCAGCCTCAGGCCTGACAGTTCAACTTCCTCTAGCTGTTGTCCTCACCATACATGATTTTACATCTAACTGAGGTATGCTACAGTACATTCAGTACCTTGTGTGTTCAGTAACATCTCAACTAGGAGAGAATCATTCAGCTCTACTGAATGAACTACAACAGTGGAGTCACAAAACTACATTCCCCCTTCAGCAAGCAGCAGCTTTACAAGCCACCACCATCCCTTGGGAATACATCTATGAACAAAGACTCAGTGTAGATGTAGAGAACGCCCCTCCCCCATGTGCTCACATGTCTCAATTCTTGGACCCCAGTTGGTAGAACTGTTTGGGAAGGATTTGGGGTGTGGCCTTGTTGTTGGAGTATGTCACTGGAGGTGGGCTTTGAGGTTCTGTAAGCCTATGCTATTCCTAGTTAGCTCTTTCTCTCTCTCAGCATTACGGTTGTGTCTCAAGTCGTAAGCTCTCAGCAACTGCTCTAATACCAAATGTGCCTGCCTGCTGCCACACTCCTCACTATAATGGTCATGGACTTACCATCTGAAACTACAGGCCCCAATAAACTTTTCTGTAAGTTTCCTTGATTGTGGTGTCTTCTTACAGCAATGGAAAAGCAACTAAGCCAGGAGACAACACTCCGAAGCACAGTGAACAATGTACACCAACAATACACAAAAGACTTGGAAGACAGGGAGAAGGCAAGCCCAGTCCCAGTGCCTGCAGTGTGTGTGCAAAAGGTTAGATGCTATGGAAGGAAGAAGTCATCCTCTAGAGATGAGAAGGCAACGTTAGTAAGAAGCTGAGCCCAGAGGAAAGCAGAGCTCAGTGAGGGAGCAGTCCTGGAAACATTCAGTGTAGGACATGACTAAGAAATGTATATTTTGATAGTCTCAATGTTCATAGTGTTTTTATCTAGATGGAAGAATTACAGTTTCATTTTATACTTTTATAGTACAAAAGAAAAGTATTCTTTCTATTTGAAAAAAGAATGAAACTGGGCCATGAAGGAAAATTACGGGCTTTCTGATAAGGAATAATAAATGTAAAAGACAGAAAAGCCCTATCCAAATACAACCAAAATCAAATACTCTACTACAAACTTTGGGTATAACCCTACTCTCATGTGTACCAGACATTGTATTCTGCCCTATTTATGTGTGATCTCATTTCAGAAGCCTGAAAATAGTTATTGTTCAAGCTATAATGAAAAATAAAGGCCCAAATCCATTGCTTAGCCCAGAACTACTCCAAACTACCAAACTCTCAATCACCCATGACTGGCCACAAGGTATCTTCATCTCTACGCGATATCTACAAGCAGCTGGTATCAACTGAAGCACATTCCAGATCATGAAGAAACAAATCCTTCATTAAAAACCAAGTTCATTCTGTGTTAATGGAAAAACAAACAAACAAAACTATGCCACTATTCAGGCCAGAATGCTGGGTTTCATCTTGCTCTAAAACCTACATGCCAACTATAAAGGAGTACCTTATGCATGCCTTGGCCACCCCAGCCTCCTGCAGCACTGCTGGTTGTCCCTGTAGTTCTCCAGAGCTCCAAAGAGCTGACTTCCTCTCTATAGTCAGGCTCAGTGATCCATGCTGACCAGAAAGAATGGATTAGGTTGTTCTACAACCAAATTCCTAAAGACCTATTGTTATAGCATCAACCAAAAATTCATTCAGAGTAGTTTTACACAAGTACATAAAAGGTAGAAAATGTAGTTATTCAGATAACTACCAGGGGCAGCACACTGGTGTTTGAATAGTAAATGTAAGAAACCTACAGTAGAAGTTTTAAAACTGGAAAATTTCCTTAACAACATACTTTGTAAATAGTGCCATGCAGGATGATGTTATCAAGTACAATTCCAGCTTAGGTTATAGAGAACCTTTTTCAAAACTAATGTGTTTTATATAAGGGTTAGAAAAAGGTGTTATGAAGCAGGTGGACCCTGCATTTCAACTGTTTGTTTATTCATTTAATATTTATTGAACACATTTTTATTGTGAAGTCCTCTTCTAAGCACTGAATATAAAAGCATTCTCACATTTTAGTTTGGAGGAAGGGAGATCAGTAATATTCTTTTGGATATTATTTCTATTATATCCACACAATCTTTAAAATGTTCACATAATTTGTTTCAATAAGTCAGTGTCTGGGAATACAGATATGGAAAAAAATCTTAAATGTTAACAGAAATGTGTGCTCCAGGCATCAGCGGGGTATGCTACCAAACTGATGCTCCTGCTGCTCCCTGTCTCAAGCACTGGCAGTGACTTGGGTAATGAAATAAATCAAAGAAAAGTGGGATGGCTTCACCTGCAGACAATAGTGCATACAGAAAGTTCATGGGTCAAACCATCTGTCTTCAATAAAGGAACTACAGGAACGTTTAGGGATGGGGTTTGTCTTGGGAGGCAGCAATGGTTAGATTTTCACACTGGTATAATTCTAAACTTTTACAGCACTCACTGCTTAGCTTGTAAATACACACAAGCAAATGGGGCACACAAAAACAGTGGGTAGGGAGCACAAACTCAACTATAGCACATACAGATAAGGGCAGGGGAAGGTGTGCCAAATGATGGGGTCAAGCCCTGGCACAAATTACAACATGTAATCAGAACAATATATACGATTTAATTCCCAGCCAGGTGAGC